ATTGAGAATGCAATACCAATGGGGATGTTCTTAGCAACAAGTACCAATTAAATCCAGAAGTAACCAGTTGATTTTTTTTTTAATTTCCCTTTGTCCACTTTGGACGTGTGTTTCTTCAAACTACTCTTCCAGGTTCCCCATAAAGAGAAAAAAAACTACTCTCACCCTATAGTCAAAACAAAAAATTCTAATATTGAGTTTGCAAATATTAGTTTGAATAAATATGTGATTCCAATTCCTTATTAAAATAAATTTTCATAAAATTCTAACTTGATGCAACAAATAACTTATTTTGAAACTCTTCAATCTATTTTATTGATAGATAGATATATAAATAATTTTCAAATTTCAATTTAACTCTTTCAGTATGTATATTAAACGTGCTATACAAGTTTTATACGTGTGTAGTATGAGAGAGTCATCAAATGGACAAGAAAGAGTGGATCAGTTTGATAATAGTATGGTAACACTTATATATACGCATATTAAACAGGGTATTTACTAACTATGATTTGGAGGAATTTTCATAAGTTTGATGGAAAAATATGTTTTATAAGAGTTTAAAAAAAATTGATCGAAAGTGACGGAGAACGTAACTGATATTGGGTTAAAAGTTAACCTAGAGTGAGTTCATGTCAGAAACACAAAATTTATGGCCACATATAAATTATATCATCATAAAATATTAACTATAAAAAATAGTTATAACAATAAATAATTAATGATTTTAAACTATCCCGGCCGTTGGCCGGTTACAAAGCTAGTAGAATATAATAAGACTTTTCCAAAAAATATTTTCACGGATTCAAATTTACCAGCTCCTCAAGCCTCCACTTCAGCAGGGGTTTCAACCAATCACAATGGATCTAAGGAAAAACCGTCTTCCATAAAAAAAAATAACTCTAAAGAAGAAGAAAAAAATCTAACACCCCAAAACGCGGGTTCGCCTTCTTCATCTCCTCCATATCCCGACCTTCGAATCTGTGACGCGTAACCGTCGGCCATTGGCCCGTCTCCGACGACTAACTATCCACTCCCTCTCATCCTCCCTCTAAAACCATACCCCCCGTCCCGACACCGCATCTGCTATTCGCCCTGATTTCCAAACTTGCAGGAATGGAGTTTATCATTGAAGGACACATCGCCGGCCGTCCATTTTCCGCCCGGTAATAGCAGGGACGCCTAGGAGTAGACCTCTCATCACATTCCATACCTAAGTTGGCCCCGTCATCTCTTCATCTTCGACCCCAACTACCACCAGCAAGACGAACTCACTCAACCTCCCCTGTCGCCGTTAAATTGTCCGACAGACGGAGGAGAGCTGCCATTCTCCGTTCCAACGACGGTAGAGACTGCCCCTTCAAGACTCCCTCTGATTACCCACCTAATCACATTCAAACATGTTCTGTGAAATTGGTTGAGTTCAATATGAAATTATTATTCAGTAAGGTTTTACGAGCTTCATATTCCAAGGAAGTTATATTATTAATGTTCTGACAATCAATGTCAGATTTCATACAATTATTATTATGTATCTGTACACACTATTATGAGAACACCACACACTAAAGAAATCAAACAAATTGGTCAAGTGACATTTGGATTGAACTTTTTTATTAAAATAGGACATGTCTGACTATCAGTGTAAGAAACCTCGGATCTATGAGTCTTGCGTCTAGAGTTCTGAGATTAAGATCGATAGGGAATTGAATATTAGATATTTTTTAGGGAAGAGAGGGACGAAGGGGGAAGAGGGTCACGGCCAAGGGTGGTCGACGACAATGATTGTGAAAAAAGAGAGAGAGAGTTCGGCCGAGATTAAGAGAGAGGGAGAGGAGATTAGGGTTTGACAAAATTCAAAATTGTGTTATGTATTTACTTAATGAGAAAATACTCATCCAAATAAGTCCAAATATGTTCAAAACTGCAAAATAATATCCAAAATTACTCTGACATAAATAAAACGACAAACTTCCAAATATCAAAATAATCCCAAAAGTAGATTTTTAATATTCAGTTTATACAAATATTACCCGGCCAACGGACCGAGTAAAAAGCTAGTTAGAAAAATATAGGGTTAATACCTTATTCTGGTCCGAACAATGACCATATAATCAACTTTGGCTTGTTGTTCCATAAATTAACATCCTGACCTCAATTATGCAGCATATAGACTCAATTGGCCCGATTGACCGTCTATTTGGAGCAGAGGAAGGCGGCATCGTAGCGGGTGAGGCGGAGGAAGGGGATTGGTTGCGGTTTTGAAATTTGGATTTTTTCAGGTTGGGGAGAGATTTGTTTGACCGAAGACGATACAGAGGAAGAATGTTTATATTCATTTCTAATTTTTTATTTAATTTTTTTAATTTATTAAATAATTGGATTTTTTAATTAATTTATATTGCTTACATAGCATCCACGTCAGCACTAGATGTTGATTCACTAACGGTCAACAGTATTGACCGTCTAAATTGACGGAAATTCACTGGTTATGCTAAACTAGTCTATATGCTGCATAATTGAGGCCAGAATGTTAATTTATGAAACCACGGGCCGAAGTTGATTATATGGTCATAGTTCGGGCCAGAATAAGGTATTAACCCAAAAATTTAATAGAGAGTGATCAAACTTGAACTGTTGAGCTAATCTTAGTGATCATGAATAGAATTATATATTTTTAGTGACTAAACATGAATCTTTTTAATAAACCCAGTGACGAAACTTGCAATTTACCTAGGACAAAAATATCCTCCCTAAATTTAATGAGAAGCTCGATTTTAGAATTAGACATGTTCTCAGAAAGAATCTCTATATATTAGTGTTAGGATACATGTAAATTTAATGCTTGAAATGATTTCATAATTATTAATTCATTCTCGTCGATAATGAAACGAGCAAATCAGCTCGAATAGGGTAGAACTAGTACTGTAGTTTTTGTAAAATTATATTTTAATTTATAAGCACAACTCCATTAAACGTGAGAAATAGCGCTAGGGGTGTTCAAATGGCTACCATGGTTATTACCAAATCAAATAAGGCTAAATTTTATTAACCATGGAATGCAATATCATAACCAAGCCGTCCAAACTAATACAACAACCAAATTAACCAAACTAAAGTTTAATCGGTTTGGTTAATTGGTTAACCAGATTAACCAATATAAAATCATATTATCATCAAATGAGAAAAATTTCAGTTAATTTATCAATTCACAATTTATATAATGAATAAAACATAACAATCAACACATAGTTATAATTGACCCTTAACATAAATACATGCAACATAGACAATTATCTTACGGTTAGTATAGAAGTATTCACCTAACAAAAATTTATCACAATGGAATGGATTAATGAATTGTTGTGTTTGTTTGAATTGACTTAGTCTTTTAGCAATTTTCATAGGCTGAAAATGACCTTGCTTTCAAGTTTTCATCCAACATAATGTATGAGATTTATCTAAATTAGGCGGTCATATGTTGTGGTCTACACTCTACATATACAAATATACATTATAGAAACAATATTAAGCTTTATATTTTATGAGTCTAAAAGGATGAACGTTTAACTCGAGTTGTTATTCAAAGTAATAAGTATGTGTATATATTAGATATATAACTAATTATTTATCTGGTTAATTTGGTTTGGCTGGTTAGGAGTGTCTGAAACCAAACCAAACCACCTAAACCAAACTAGCTAAAAACTTTAACCAAACCAATTATCCAAATTAACCAAACCAAATTATCTAAATAATACTGGTCAAAACGGTTACCATGGTAATCACACCGTTTGAACACCCCTAAATAGTGCATCGAGAATAACAATTATTTCATGTTACAAACAGATATTGAAGGTTAATAAATCGATTATCCTCCGGTTCTAATTATGTCACCCTATATCAAACTTGAAAACAAAAAATGGGCTACTAGAGGAAGACAAATTTATTTGTAAGATCTTTATAATTTTCTCGTGACAGAATCCTACTACACTACAACCCCTTAGGAGCTGTGAACTTGTGATCCCGTCACACTTTTCTGTAGAAAGATTTGGAAAATCAGAGACAGTCGACAAAATAGCTCGTCGGGAGTAAATCAACATCACTAGAAGCTTGGGAATCAAGTCAAAAAATCAATCAACTGGTTGATTGCATAATCACAGCTCAAGAATCACTCCTTTAATCAAGCATTGCAAAAAAGGAAGGATGAGGGGTTTCCAACTCACACAAATCTACATTCACTCACCTCCTCGTCTATAAAAGGGGACAGGATCTTCTTGCCTCAAGGCACTGTTGTGAGAGAGCGGCAAAGGGCTTCTAAACAAGAGGGTTTAGCAAAGGGGAAGAGGTTCTTTGCTAGTGGCTGATACAAATTCCGGAGTTTGTAATTTGGGTTGTCTATTCGTCATTCTACTTTACTTCTTGAATTTTTTCCTTTGAGTTTTCATTTCAATTTGCTCCTTTTGTACGTGTGAGTTAAATCGTCAAGAAAATAAAAATAGAGTCGTAGGTGTGGACGTAGCCCATTGCACCAGGGTGAACCACGTTAAAAATATCGTGTGTTCTTTAGATTTCCGCACTTTTCTTTTCTTGCTTCATCTTTCACACCAATATTCTGTTTTTCAAGGATTTTGATCCAAGAAAACAGACCTAATTGTTCTTCATACTGGCCTGCTCGGCTGGGCTCACTAATCCTCAAGCCCTATCTCAACATCAATTTTTCAGTTCATAGAATTCGGGTGGGCTTTGTGAAGTTTTGGGCCCAAACTGAAGGGGAGAATTAGAACGAAAATACTGAAAGACTTCTCCTTCATTTCGATCTTCTTCCTTCTTCTCCTTCATTACTTTTCCCAGACTTCTAACCCCTAAAACTCGGTCCCTTTGATTTCATTTTCTCATTACCAATGAAACTTCAAACATTCAAAGATAAGATGCTAGTAATCTTTCCGTGGTCTGAGTTTGGGAAGAATTCTTCAAATTGTTTCAGAATTAAGGTTGGCTTGGGCCCCAATACGATCAACAAAGTAATTACTTAGAAAAACATTAAAATCCAGAACACTTCATTTGAAATCTGGAGACTTTTGTACCCCAAAAAAAAAAAAAAGAAATCTGGAGAGTTGACCTAGGACTAGGGCAGAACTATGGTCAAGCTACCAATAGCAAAGCTCGAGAAGAAAAGAGACGCCATAGGGCTGAGTCAATAGTTGAGTCAGTCAGAGACCTAATTCGCGTACAGGTTACAGAGACTAAATTTGGATGATACATATATCATAATATATGCGGAAGAATTCCAACAAACACTGCAAATCCTATGAAATGAACAGCATCACCACCTTGACTTCTTAAAGACTGTTTCTGACCGACGAAATGATTGCCAAAGCCAACTTCTCGTCTTCCATGCACCAACTGCAGCAAAAATATGTGCAGGTCGTAGAGGGATCCCCCGGGACTTCAGATGATCTACGAGTGCAGCCCGCATTCGTGCACACAGACAGTATAAAAGAACCCACCTGGAGAAAATCTCCCATATTCTGGACATCGACCTGGGGAAACAAATGTGACAGTTCCAAGGCTAGCACCTTGAGCAAAGAGCGGCTACCAGAAAGCCCGAGCCTACCTGTTGCGTTTGTTAAGTTTTTGCTTCTAATTGGAAAGCAATGGCCAAACAGAACCACCTGGGGCTTTCCTTCTCCCGACACGATCAGCTCCAGCTCCAGCTCATCCTTGTGTACGCCTCTCGCCTTGCCTCCATCCACGAATAAGATGGCTTCGCCAACTCTGTCATCAGTTACCGTCAGAGGTGAGGCGAGGTCTGTTGATAAAACTGCACCTGATGTGGAACATCTTGACAAGCTGAAATTGGGGCTCTGGCAACTCTTGGCAAATGAATCTGAGGTTTGAGCTTTCACATGGACGGTGGCGGAAGGAATCTTCACCAGCCCACCATTCAGTGGATCATAGCACATGATTCCCATTTCAGACTCTATCTTCTTTTTCAGAATGGACATACGGGGCTTCTCACCATGCACTAGCATCGCGTGCTTGGGAGACAGGAACTTTAGAAGATCCATAATTCCTTTGGAATCGGTATGTGCACTGAAAGACAAATTAACGTTCTGGGAACACGAACACAAATCAAGGAATACTGTATGTTCAGAACATTCACAAAAGTACTTCAATATAGCTTCTCGGGAAAGAAAATTGAATAGATACTAGGAACCATCATACCTTACAACGGATTTCTATTTGGCTATTATTGTCCGCATAGAGTTTAGTTAGTTTGCCGGACGCAAGCTTGTGTCCTATCGTTCCAGCTACACAGTGCCTGAAAAATATGGACAAATATACAGAACATTTCAAGAGCAAAACATGCACACAATTGCCTCATACACCTGTTGCAACTTGCAATAGAAGCTCGCCCTGTGTGCAAGAAAGGATGATGATTTTTTTACCAAGGTAAGATTCAAATCAAGGGAATAGTCCTTTTTCACATGTCCAATTAAAATAAATAATGCATGATGATAGATTGTTACCCAGGAAGCATCACAAGATTCACCTCGGAAGGAGCCCACTGCTTGAAAACCTCCAGTGAAAGGCCGCCAGAGAGCATTCCAGGTGAGGCAAAGAGAACACAAGGTCCAGGAGCATTTATCTGCGACCGATCAAAACTGACAACTAAGCCAGAACAATGTAGAAATCAGAGAAATAAAGAAGTTATACATGTTCAAACAATTAGCAGCGTAGTCTTGATGATTTTGGGATCCAAATAATAACATAGGTATTTGTAAATGAACCAGATCATATTGTCGACAAACTTGTACAGTTTGGGTACATCGCATTTCATAAGGAGAACACCACAATTAACATTCCTAAACCAATCCGAAAAATGCAAACAGCGGGAAGTACCATGTTTGAGATTAAATGCATTCTGCAGTGCAATTGTATCTTTGATCTTCTTATTGGTCCAGCTCATAAGGGTCTTGTAGTATATATTAGCTTGTTTGGTCAAACCTGAAAGAAGTATATCATTCAATCAAAACAACGTAAAACTGCAGGGCAAAAGAAATGGCATTATGAATAGCTTTTGTCATATGCATGATAGGCTATTCAAGGGTATGTCGGAAACTCATAATGGAGCAGGAAGAATGGGTTGAGCGTTAAAAGAAATGCAGACTATTGAAATTCTCAATTTCTATGATTAAAAAATGATTGACACAAGAAAACAATGTGGATTTAAAAGAATAAAAAAAAATACAAACAGAAAGAATCTCCATTTACCACGTAATGCAACTCAAACAGAACCCAGCAACAGGAAGACCGATGCGGTAACAAGGCAAAGTGATTTTGTTAAACCGAAACATGGCATTCTTATTTCAAATGTTTGCTTTTGTTTCATCATAGAGGAAGCCTATTAGCCTAACATGAGGGATGGGCATACCAAAACCCAGACGCTCTATCATGAATGCCAAATGAAATACTTTACTCCATGATGAATCAACAAAAGATAGTAGGAATGCGAGATGCGTTTCAAGCTTGGAAAAATAAAAGATTCAAAAGAAGAAATTACCAAACATGAATGCTTTTCATGGAACGAAAGAGAACAATATCTACCTGATGAGAAATATATAGGAACCTTCAGATTCATGCGTTCCCAGTAGTCTTCCAGCAAAATGAATAGCTCCTGATTAGATAGATTATCCAACGAATAAGAGTACAACAAGGATTTAAATTGCATGGAAACATAGAATAAAAGGAGTAAAATGACCACTTTATAAGAATCTGTTAGAGAGAACCATAATTCAGTTCAACGCTACATAAAACATCAAAGATATCTGATGGTTATGGAAATAATCAGTCAAGCTTAGTCAATGCATTCTTATGGCCTTAGTACCTGAGCTCTTCCAAGTGCAAATGTAGGAATCAGGACCTTTCCTCCAGCAACGACACAGTCATGAACCTACATGAGCAATTTCAGTTGGTACTTTTTCAAGGGACACAAACATTAATTTACATGAGAAATTTCAGTTGGTACTTTTCAACGGACACAAACTTGGATTAATTTGGACACTGGAATTCTTCAAGAGTTATAAACATGCAATAAAGCATCAGTTACATATAAAAAGCAGAACACATACTACATTTAATCATGCAAGATACACAAATTTTTGACGTCACGGGCCATTGATGGCTCTCTTTCATGGCAATGATGCATTGCTTCTAGACACGGGAAAAGATTTCAGTAATATCTCAAGTTCTATAAAAGCCAGTATTTGGAAGATTTTCCTTTAGTTCAACAAAACAGTAGCAGATCGATAAGGCTATCTCCTAAGGGGTTGATAAGCTTTTGCTCTCTATCAAAAGCAATTCTAGTCCTCGCAGAACATCTATGCTATGAAAATGGACTTCACTGATCTATTCTACATCCATGAATAACATGCAGTGATCAATTAAGCAATTCCCGGCTCTATGTAGAGCAATTCTAACCACTATAGTATGATGAAGCACAACATTTCATAACCAGAGTTCCCCCAAGCTCCAAATTTCCACAATTTACATGTGTATCCACTATTGCTAGAAATTTATCTGTCTAATGTCATGGTGTTTTCAATCATAATAAAGAGCAAGTATAGATAGTACCAATTAAACATTCTAGCTTGGCAAGCATGTCAATGAAAGAGACAACACGTGGATCAATGAAATGGAAGAAGTCATGGATTATAAGAAATATGATAGAGTTGTTACTTATACATACAGCTTTCAGAAACTTTCTCTCACTAGCATATTTTGAATCACGTACAGTCGTTGCATAGGTAGACCTGTTAAGCACATATAAAATCATGATCAAAAGGAGTGATTTCAATTGAGATCTGGAAGAGCTGGTTTATCTCAAATATTATAATAAAAGTACAATAGTCCACCGATAGAAATGAATAAGTTGTCCAGCATTTAAACAAAGACACTACCATTGCATAAAGAAAAGTGTACAGGAAAGATTTTCATCAAGCGAAGCGATATAAAGAGGAGCAGGAGGAGGAAGAGGAGGAGGAGGAGGAAAGGGGGGAGGGGGCGGTTGTTGACATTACAACACACATTTATCTAATGAGATTGATCACTAATGAAACATCAACCGTATAAAACCACTTACTCTGTTATAACGAGGTCTAGTTCTAGTGGATCAATTTGTGCCGCCCCAAGATGTCTATCTGGAGTCATATTGTAGTCTCCTGTGTAGACCATAGATGCGTCTCCTACCTTTGCATAAACCATTGCAGCTCCAAGAACCTTGAGGGAATAAGAGGTATTAACATAACACAAAAGTTAACAAACTGAATGTAACATATCTACCTAAGTGTAAATTTTAATCTTACGTGTCCTGCATAGTACGCACGAATTTGAAGATCCTTACCAACTTGTATATTCTGCTTCAGATCAATTGGGGTGACTGCATAAGGAAAATTAGGAAAAATTTATCACATTTGGCAGTCATACACAAATTGAAATTCCGGAGAGTATAGCTCATTTGATATATTCATGAAATCTCAGGCGATAACTGTCAAACTTCATATTGTAGTCAGTTAAAATGAATTCAACTATTAACGTCACGAAAAATATGCCTTCACAACTTTTGGCAATGAGTTGCTAGTTGCAGTAAAACATCTCAAAAAAAATATAAATTTATCTATAAGCACAACACAGTACTTGGTTGATGCTCACCAGTCCATTGGCTAATCCTATTCATTAAGTCAATTAACAATGTCACCCGCCATTGCACTGGGCTAATCAACCTTTTCAGAACTGATTGTCAGTTCAGAACTCTGTCAACTATCCAGTAGGCATGCATTTACTGACAGAAACCAGAGTTCTATAGAGCAGAACCCTACAAAGCTAAAAATGGCAAAGGACCCATACCTTTCTTCATGCACGCAGAAATATCTTCGGCAGTAAACTTCTCTTCCACACCTCTACCAACCGATATCCTCAGAAAATCCTCCAACATCAAAGGAGCCAATGCCTTTGTCGGGTACTACAGACGGAACAAACATACTGCTAAGTACAAGAATATGAACCAAAGAAGAATCCGAAATTATTGTGAAAACTATCATTCTCTTCCCACACCAAGGAATATACTCCACAATGTAATTTTAACTTTCTGATGAAAAATTACCGTCATGTAAATAGGACCATTATAACCAACAACTTCAGTGAAGTAAGGAAGCGCGCCAATATGATCCAGATGACTGCAATAAGAGTCCCACATCACACAACGAAATTAAAAGAATCACCATAGCAAAACTAGTGTGAACAGAGCAAACAAAAACCTTGAGCCACACTTACAAGTGAGTGATAACGACACAATCTAGGGAGCCATCAATGAGGGAAAAATCAGGATAACGCTCTTCATCACTGTGACCTAGGTGCATCCCACAATCAAACATGATCCGCATCCCATTGATAGTTACTATCACGCAGCTCTTCCCAATTTCCTGCCCGGCCCCTGCAACCGGCCATCATTCATGAGAAAATCACTTAGGTAGAAAACTGGAGAGCAGACAGCAGACGAAGTAAACGTACCAAGAACTAAGCATTCGATGCCCATGGCAGGCGCACTCTGTCTGATCTCAATGAGGAGAAGAAAAGGACAGGCCTGCGGCGGCCACCGTAGGACGGGCAGAAGTTTTCCTAAGAAACGAAGCCACCGACCGGCAGCAAGCGGTTGAAGAGGGAGATCGTCGGAGCTGGTGGTCGGACAGTTACTGATTGCGAGAGGTCGGTGTCGGGATAAGAGAAACCCTGGGTCATTGATACCCAAAAAACCTGTATCCGCCCATAAACCCTTTCTTTGGTCAGGTGGGTCGGGTGGGATTGTGCGGGTGGATTGCAAAATGGGTTAATACTTTATTTTGGCATGAACTATGACCATATAATCAACTTTGGTTCGTGGTTTCAGAAATTAACATTTTGGTATCAACCATGTAATATATAAACTCAATTGGCCTAACACCTAGTTTGACCGTCAATTTGGATGGTCAACACCATTGACCGTTAGTCAACACACCATGTCATTGCCACGTCAGCATAAAAATCATTAAAAAATTCAAATGCAAACCATTTTTTTTAATTTTTATTATTTATAATCAAATTAAAAAACATAAAATAAATTTATTTTTGTGTAATTTGAAAATGATAAATTTTATAAATTAACCAAAAATTATCAAATTATGTTATATATTTAACACTACACAAAAATAAAATCTATAATTTATATCATGTTTTTTAAGTTTATAATATTTAATTTAATAATTTTTGTTTAATTTATAAAATTTATCATTTTCAAATATCCCAAAAAATAACATGGCGTGTTGACTAATATTTTATATTTTTTAAATTTTAAATTTTTGTTAATTTCAAAATGATAAATAATAGAAATTAGGAAAATAATTTGATTTTGATTTTTTTAATAATTTTTAGGCTGACGAGGCAATGACATGCCGTGTTGACTAACGGTCAACGGTGTTGACCATCCAAATTGACGGTCAAACTTTGTGTCGGGCCAATTGAGTCTATATGCTGCATAGTTGAGGCCATGATATTAATTTCTGAAACCACATGCCAAAGTTGATTATATGGTCATAGTTCGGGCCAAAATAAGGTATTAACCCTTGCAAAATCTATCTATCTATCTACAAAAGATATAAAGGAGATTCATGGGTTGGGATTGGAGCATTTTGAATTTCCAGCCCTTAGAGCACTTCACGGATGGGCATTTTTGTAATTGCCGTGGACTTAAATGAGGCTGTGCGTTTTGCACCTTCCTCTGCTGTCAGACATTTAGTAATTTGGGGTTTATTTGTTATTTGACGTTTTATATTATGTTGGCTATTTTGGGAACTATTGAGGTTAAATCGGTTAGGTTAAGTCTTTGGGTAGTTATAGGGAATTAGTCGGTTTATATATATTCTGTGTTAGGCATAAGCTAGGGTTAAGCAATAACAACAGAATTATTCCCTAAAGCTCTCTCTCTCTCTCCCTATCATAGCCGAACCCTCTCTTCCCCTCTCCAACTCGTCGGCCACCATCCCGGTGACCGGAAACCTCTTCTCTCAACCCTAATTCCCCAATTCTACCTCATCCCAAATCCCTAATTCTCATACCAATCACGATCATCAATCGCACACCTAGATCCGTGCTCTTTCATCTGCCCAGCAACTTGACCGACCAATATCTGGGCTAGGCCTCCTCTTATGTTGCAATATAGCGGCCTGATATGGCCCAATAACTCAATGTGGCCCAGGCTTATCTCCAAACCAGCGCCCTCATCCCTTCTCTTCGGTATTTGCCATCATTCTTCCAGTAATGCCGCCCAAACGAAGAGATGTTCCTGATCGCCCAAACGAAGGGTTGTTCTGATCGACCAAACGCCAAGGAACAAGGTCCGGCTAAATCCAGGTAAGGGGGAATCTTTTGGGCGGCAGTGCTTGATTTAGCCATATTTCTTGGACTTAAATTATTTTATTCCAATACACCCTTTATCTCATATGTCTCCAGGACTGACTTCAATGGAGCCCAATCAAGATAGAGATGTTCATGCCATGCCAGGATTGATTGGGAAGCATGTTCATCACTCACGACATATATGTATTTGTCACCAATTATGTTTTTTTTACAGTATTTCATCAATTGTTTCTTTAATTAGGTCTAATACACAAGTTTAACCTTCACTACCTATATATGTTTTTAACCTTGACTGCCTATATATGTTTGTCCTCTTCTCTTTATTATCAGGGTTGATGCGAGCAATCTTTAACCCACCGAGACCCCCGTCCAAAAGACAAACTGATTCTGAATGGGAGCGGCTTAATCAACGTAGCCACCGATCACCGGCTGAACTGTATTAATTTAGTACTCCGTTTTGTTTTTTCTGTTTCGTAATTTCTAAAACATTGATATGACATTTATGCATAGATTATTTCTTTCAACACCCAAGTTCAACATATTAATCGGTTGATAGCTCAATTGCACCGCAAACACCGCCGTATTATCTTGGATAGTTGCTCTGGGCGGATAGTTGCACACAATTCACTGGGTAATTTTTTTACCTATTCAGTCCACTAACTAATCTACTGATGTGTCCATCATGTTTCACTACGTAAATCCACCATTATTTGTTTCCTATCCAGTGCACTAAATATTTTACTAATCACAAACTCAGATTTTTTGAAAAACCAATTTAATTAAGGGTACATTCTTGCATTCTAATGGGTGTCATATCATATCTCCTAAAATATGTTTGGTTATTACTTGATGGTGGATTGACTGTTGAGGTCATCGGCAGGAAATAGTTATAACTTTTCCAGATCAATCCATTGCGTCCAGAAATTGTTCAAGGATTGCAAGATATGTTAGACAACAACAATGTTTTGGTCCATACCTTTCGAATGGCTAGACAAAGGATGAATGAGGCGGGGGTTCAAGAGGTCAAGATCAAATTGTTTGCCAACCGTGCACATGATGGAAGAGAATATGATCTACCTATGGGGAATGATGTAGCAGCATTGATTGTTGATGAAACCGGTCAAGATACATTTCAGCCAGATATTATTGTTCACTACAAGTGCTCTAAGCTGGAGAGAATCAATTTTCACCATCCTTCTTTAATGGCGTTACAATATCCACTCCTATTCCCCTACGGTGAGGATGGATGGCATCCAGGTATACCCTGTATTGACGATGAAGATGATGATGAAGAGAATCTTTGGAATGACAATACTTTGTCTCAATGTGATTACTATGCATATCGACTGCAAACCAGATTTGATCAGTCAAATGCATTACTCCTAACTGGGAAATTATTTCAGCAGTATGTTGTTAACGCATACGCATTAGTTGAAGCAGAGCGACTTGAATGGATCCGCAATAACCAATCTAAGCTTCGTGCCCATTATGTTAGTGGGTTGCTCGATGCATTTTTGCGTGGTGACTCTGATCTCGATTTGACTGAGAAGCATGTTATTTTGGCTGCTTCTCATACAGGTAGTCCACGTTATAAGTATGAGAACTTTCAAGATGCAATGGCAATTTGTAGGTGGCTGGGATACCCCGATTTATTCATAACATTCACATGCAATTCAAATTGGCCAGAAATCCAATTTATGGTGGACCTGATCAACTCAGATGGTCGAAAAGATATCAATAGATAGGATATTATTGCTAGAGTCTTCAAGCTGAAGCTGCATCAATTAATGTCTGAAATCAAAGATAAGAAAATTTTTGGGGCAACAACTGGACGTAAGTTATATTCTCCATTACTACTTTATTGGTTTGTCTTTGTTTTTTTTTATCCGAATACTGACACTTTTTTTTTCAAATTCGAATAGTGCCACCCAGTGTAGTCCGCCTCCATTTGTTGTAGTTGTATTTCCAATCTAATAATTGATGGTGGAGATTGATTATTTCCATGGCATACTTTTATAGCTCATGGGGAAATAGAGAACACGTGTATGTGATGCAAGATGTGGGTCTTGGTGGAGACAAATTTTGTTGTCCTTCTCATATGCTAATTAAATGACCTTTTACAAATATATATATATATATATATATATATATATATATATATATATATATATTATGTCTCTCTTGTTGACCTCTTTAATTATTCATTCTTATTGGTTTCTATACACAATAACGCCTATTTTGATGTTCGCAGATGTCATGGCAATATAATTTCAGAAACAGGGCCTTCCTCGTGCTCATATATTGGTGTTTCTAGCTTCAGACTATAAACTTAGTGGACCAAAGGAAATTGATTCCGTAATATCCGCGAAAATACCAAATCGTGATCTTGACCCGGAGGGTTACCGAGCTGTAACTTCATTTATGTTGCATGGTCCATGTGGAGATTTGGGCCGTAATGCTCCTTGCACAAAAGGCGGTGTGTGTACTAAACGTTTTCCCAAACAGTTTTGTTCACAAACAACAATTGATGATAATGGTTTTGCGAAATATCGTCGTCGTGATACTGGGATATCTTTCCAAGTCAATTCGGTGCCATTGGATAACCGCTTCGTTGTTCCATACAGTAGGCAGGGGCGGATACATGCAGGTTTAGGGGTGTCCCGGGACACCTCTAAAATTTGGAAAAACGATTATCCAACTTTCGATAGTAGTTTGTGTATGGGTATAAAAAAATTAGTGATAGTGGGACACCCTTAAAATATGGAAAATGATTATCCAACCTCCTATAGTATTCTGCATATGGGTACAAATAATATTTAAGTGATAGGGTCTATGTGATTTGAACTTGGGAACACTGCTACTATTAGTAAATATAGTTTCAATTAGACTACAACTCATTTGTAGTTATGTTTTAGATCAAAATATAAAAGTAAAAGACTATTCTTATCCCCAATTATTTTCAAAACCTAACGATTAAACCCAATTACGGGTTACCCTTGTCTAGTAGGATATGTCACGAGAGATTTGTTGAGCAGTGTATACACCGAATGTATTTTACCATTCTTTCATAATACGGAACATGTTTGAACTTTTATTCTAACTTTTACTAGTTTAATATTTTCATATTTAATAATTATTTGATTTAATTTTTGATTTAATTTTTTTAAGAGGACACCCCTATTTAAAATTCATGAATCCGCCACTGACAGTAGATATTTATTATTGCGTTTCGATGCGCATATAAATGTTGAATTCTGTAATAAATCCAGGTACGTCCTCAAACATTATACTTTTATATCATTCTCAACCTGCCAATAGTCTTGCAATTATGGAAATGGTTGATTATATGTTTTGACAACC